TGTAGGGAACTGGAGTTGATGACTTCTCAAGGTTCCTTCCAGTTTCTATTCTATGATAATCCATTCAAATCTAGTACAGGTTGTATCTTCCTTAACTGGGACTGTCTGGTCTGGGAGGACACCACAGATGTTCCTGGACCACGGAGCCCAGGTATAGGGAGTCCGGGTGTGGGGCAGGCATGACCGGCTCTAAACAGCCCTTACCCTTCTTTTCAGTAAGGTAAACAAATTAAGCTCTCAAGTTCCTTAGGCCATGTCTACACTAGGAAATTATTTCAAAATTACTAAATTTGACTTAACTCCTAATTTAACAGATTTGAACTAGTGTGTTCACACTATTGGCAAAGCCTCAAAATTAGTACAAGGCAGGCTCAGTTAAGGTGAAAGTGCTACCTCAGAGTTCCAGGAAGCACTGGAGAGTAATTAGTTTGAATTACGCTGGGGAGTAATTACTTTGAAATAGTGGCACCAGAGCTATTTACCGTTATTTCAAAATAACTATTTCGGAATTGGAATTACTCCTGATGAAAAGCAGGAGCACAGATTTCTAATTCCGCAGCCCATTATTTTGAAATAAAAGGCTTGGTAGTGTGTGGACACTGCTTATAAATTCGACCCTAGCGGTGGGTGGGTTATTTCAAAATAAAGTCCTAATGTAGATCAGGGCTTTGTTCAAGCAGTTTTTTTTCCAGCCTTCAAATGATTGTTGAGCCTTAACTGATCTGGAGCCATCTTGATTGCTTGGTAAATGGGAAGGATTAACAAGGCCAAATGTAAGGTTATGCACTTAGGAACAAAGAATGTAGCACCCAGATAGGGGACAAATATTGGCCATAGATGACTCTTTAATCTAGCAAACCAAGGCATAACAAGAACCAATACCTGCAATAGCTGAATTTAGACAAATTAATGGGCTGTCAGCTCAGGCAGGGCACTGGCCTACCATGCCCTCCTCTTGGCATGCATGCCTTGCACAATGAAGTCCTGATCCAGACTAGAAAACTAGATTGTTCTGTAACACATAGAGTAACAAGAACGGTTTCTACAGGCAAGTTAGCAATAAGAGGGTGTGGGTACCTTACTGGATGAAGGGGGTAACTTAGTGACATTTGATGTGGGAAAAGCTGCAGTATTTGGTGGAGAAAGAGCAGGTTAAGAACTATTTAGAAAAGCAAGACATACACAAATCCATGGGTCCAGATTTAATGCATCTGAGGGTACTGAGGGAGTTGGCAAATGTCATTGCAGAGCCTTTAGCTATTGTCTTTGAAAACTTGTGGAGATTGGGAGAGATCCTGGATGATTGGAAAAAGGCAAATGTAGTGCCCATCTTTGAAAAAGGGAAGAAGGACAATCCAGGGAACTACAGACCAGTCAGCCTTACCTCTGTCCCTGGAGAAATCATGGAGGGGATCCACAAGGAATCCATTTTGAAGCATTTGGAAGAGGGGAAAGTGATCAGGAATAGTCAACATGGATTCACGAAGGGCAAATCATGCCTGACCAACCTTCTGTGATGAGGTAACTGGCTCTGTGGACATGGGGAAGTCAGTGGATGTTATATACCTTGACTTTAGCAAAGCTTTTGATACGGTCTCCCACAATATTCTTGCCAGCAAGTTAAGGGAGTATGGATTGGATAAATGGACTCTAAGGTGGACAGAAAGATGGCTAGATTGTCGGGCCCAAAAGATAGTGATCAATGGCTCCATGTCAGGTTGGCAGTCGGTTTCAAGCAGAGTGCCCCAAAGCTCGGTTCTAGGGCCGGTTTTGTGCAACATCTTTATTAATGACCTGGATGAGGGGATGGATTGCACCCTCAGCAAATTTGCAGATGACACTAAGCTAGGGGGAGAGGTAGATACGTTAGAGGACAGTGTGACTTAGACAGATTAGAGGATTGGGCCAAAAGAAATCTGATGAGGTTCAACATGAACAAGTGCAGGGTCCTGCACTTGGGATGGAAGAATCCCAAGCATTGTTACAGGCTGGGGACCGACTGGCTAAGTAGCAGTTCAGCAGAAAAAGACCTGGGGATTACAGTGGATGAGATGCTGGATATGAGTCAACAGTGTGCCCTTGTAGTCAAGAAGGCTAATGGCATATTAGAGTGTATTAGAAGGAGCATTGCCAGCAGATCTAGAGAAGTGATTATACCCCTTTATTCTGCACTGGTGAGGCCACACCTGGAGTATTGTATCCAGTTCTGGGGCCCCCCATTACCGAAAGGATGTGGATGCATTGGAGAGGGTCCAGCATAGGGCTACCAAAGGCTACGTCTAGACTGCATCCCTCTGTCGACAGAGGGATGCAAATTAAGCACATTGAAATTGCTAATGAAGCAGGGATTTAAATATCCCGCACCTCACTAGCATAAACATGGCCACCACTTTTTTCGAAATGGAGTTTTCTAAAAAAAAATGGCAGTCTAGATGCGGATCTGTTGAAAATAAAGCCTTTTTCGACAGATCCTGTATTCCTCAAAAAATGAGGTTTACAGGATTTGTCGAAAAAGGCTTTACTTTTGACAGATCTACGTCTAGACTGCCGTTTTTTCGAAAACTCAATTTTGAAAAAAGTGGTGGCCATGTTTATGCTAATAAGGCGTGGGATATTTAAATTCCTGCTTCATTAGCAATTTCGACTTGCCTAATCTACATCTTTCTGTTGACAGAGAGGTGTAGTCTGGACATACCCAAAATGATTAGGGGGTTTGGAGCACATGATCTATGAGGAGAGGCTGAAGGTCTTGGGTTTGTTTAGTCTGCAGAAGAGAAGAGTTGGGGGAAGGGGTTTGATAGCAGCCTTCTATCTCTTCCTGAAGGGAGGTTCCAAAGAGGATGGAGAGAGGCTGTTCTCAGTAGTGATGGATGGCAGAACAAGGAGCGGTGGTCTCAAATTATAGTAGGGGAGGTCTAGATTGGATATTAGGAAAAATTGTTTCACTAGGAGGGTGGTGAAGCACTGGAATGGGTTACCTAGGGAGGGGTGGAATCTCCATCCCTAGAGGTTTTTAAGTCTCACCTTGACAAAGCCCTGGCTGAGTTGATTTAGTTGGGATTGGTCCTGCTTTTGGTAGAGGGCTGGACTCAATGACCTCCTGAGGTCTCTTCCAGCTCTGGGATTCTATGATTCTCAGACAGGGCTCAGCAAGGACAAAACTTAAAAGAGGGATGTGGGGCTAGAAGTTCCTGACAGACCCTAGCTATGTCTGCTATGCAATTTCACACCCATGCCTGGCCCATGCCAGCTGACTCACGCTTGCAGGATTGTTTTGTTGCTGTGTAGATGTTTTGCTGAAGCCTGAGCTCTGGGATCACAGCCCAAGCCTATCGCATGAGCCTGTAAGTCAACATTGCAGTGACACAGTCCATCAGTCTGAGCTGGCAGCAGCCAGGCCTGATCATCGAATCGCAGTTTGAACCTACCTTAAGTGTGCCGTCTTTTCCATGTGAAATTGCAGGGGTGCTGCTAGAGGGTGGCTTTGCTTGGAATTCCTGATTCACTCACCATCTCTTCTTTCTTCCTGTCCCTCTCCCCACAGATGACATTTTTCAACCTCATGGAACTGGAGAATCAGACTCAGGTCACAGAGTTCATTTTCCTGGGGTTCTCCAGTCTTCCCCATGGCCAGGCCTTCCTCTTCCCGGTGTTCCTGATGATCTACATCACCACCATAGTGGGGAACTCAATGATATTCACCCTCATCCAACTGGATTCCCATCTTCACAGCCCAATGTACTTCTTTCTTAGCCACTTATCCTGCTTGGATATCTGCTTCTCGTCAGTCACAGTCCCCAAGATCCTGGTGAACTTCCTGCATGAGAGGGAGACCATCTCCTACAGCGAGTGTATGGCCCAGATGTTCTTACTGATGTCATGCGCGGGAGCCGAGTGTGCACTCCTGACCATCATGGCCTACGACCGATACGCCGCCATCTGCAATCCCTTGCGCTACACTGACATCATGAGCCGGAGGGTATGCTTCCCACTTGCCGTGGGGTCCTGGCTCTGGGGTCTCCTGGACTCAGCCATACACACCTTCTTGGCCTCCAAGTTATCCTTCTGTGGAGCCAACCAGCTTCACCACATCTTTTGTGACGTCCCTCCCCTGCTGAAGATCGCCTGCAGTGACACCTACACCAATGAAATGGTGCTTCATGCTGCCAGTGTGTTTGTGGGCCTGAGCCCATTTCTGCTCATTGTCATCTCGTACCTCTACATCCTGGCAGCCATCCTCAGGATCCGCTCCAACAGTGGAAGGCGCAAGGCCTTCTCCACCTGTGCTGCCCACCTGAGTGTGGTCACCATATACTTTGGGATGGCCAATCTCAACTATAATCGCCCTGGCACAGGCTACTCCACGGGGGTGGACACCCTGGTTTCCACGCTGTACTGCATCGTCACCCCCATGCTGAATCCCCTCATCTATAGCCTCCGCAACCAGGAAGTGAAGAGGGCCATGAGGAAGGCTCTAGGGAGCCAGACAAGGGAATATACTTCACCATGCAGGCAGTGAGGTCCAGGCTGAGTTCAGAACTGGGAGAAGCTGCCTGCTCTGCCCTGACTGTACTGGCTCCTCCCCATACTTCCAAAGAGGATGGCTTATTAGATGCGGCAGCTGTGTAAGGAGCCAGAGGATGGGGCAGAGGGACTACTTCCACAGCTCCCAGCTTTCGTGAATTTCTGCACCATGCCTCTGACGCTAACTGGCAAAGGAAGGAGGGAGCAGGCTACAAGGAAATCTAGAAACCCCAGTTCATGTGTCTGCTCCGCAAGCTGTATGTGAACAAAGCTCACCAGACCGCATGGCTGGACCTGTCACTCTGAGATGTGCATTGCACTGGAACTCACGCGAATCGCTTATGCTGCAGATGAAAGTGTCCTGGCACAGGAAACCCTCCAGAGCTGTCTACAGCAGGGTAAGGGAGCCTGGAGACAAACAGCCAACACGCATGGCATCAGTGTTAGCCACGGGCTGCACTTCAAAATGAATAATTTCAACCAGTTTTAGCACGTCTAGTCTTCCCAGCCCTGAACAGACAGTAACTCAAACTACAGGTAGGCAATGTCCCAGCAGCTGCTTGGAACTAGAACATGATGCCGGGTGCTGCTTGGCCAGGACGATGCAGGAGAAGGAGGTTTCAGGCCATTGTACACTGCAGAAGCCATGTGTGACCTGCCTAGACTCTCCGTTCTGTGTCAGGCTCAAGCCAGGTCTACACAAAGCCTTGACAGTCTGCAAAACTGATGCAGTAGACAGAAGCCTCTAGTGTAGCATCAGGTCCATAAGCACCATCATATGAAATCATTCACACCGCAACCCCCCCCCCCCCCCAACACACACCGATTATCATGAGTCAGGTAATTTTCAGTGACTTCATAATGTTTAGATTGCAAGGGACTGCAGTTTTATACTGAAAATGCCGAACTGCATCATGGGAGCCAGATTTCTGAGCCCCATGGGAGGCAGCTTGGGATGGGTTTCCATACAACCATGAAAGCTAGAAACATAATGGTTTACAAATTGGTATTCTGGGCCGCATGGGCTGGGCTATTGCAGGGCAGGCAGGGTAGTTCCATGCTTCCTGCAGGGTGAGGCTGCGTCACGGGTCACTGGCTCCTGCTCTGTGTGCTGGAAGGTTGCTTCCCTCTGCAGAGTACCCAAGCTGGAAGAGGAACGGGTGGGAACAATTGTTTCGGGGCAGCCTCCTCCACTGGGCACTCCCAGTTCCTGGTGCTGCTCAGAAACCACCCCTTCCATCTGGCTAGCTGACAACCAAGGGCACCCTTTAGCAGCTTCTGGAAAGCCTGTTTATGTAACCCATGGATGAGGTTTACCCCCGGTACACTGGGTTATGGGCCCCTCCCCACAGCTGCAGCAATGTTTATGGATCCCACTTGATTGGATTTATTCACACCCCCCTGCCCCAGAGCAACTTTGGGGCAGATGTGTCCCCACGTCACTGGGCCCAAGAGCAGGGGCAATCGAATGTTAACCCATCCCACGGGTTAGCCGTTGGTGACACCCTGCGCCAAATCTCTCCGCTAATCTGTCACACATTGCCAAGCAGGTCTGGAGTGCACCTGGAGCAAATGCAAACCAGGCAGCCCAGCCATCCCCGGTGCAGGGGCACGGCGGGCTGGAGCACCATACACACAAGAAATAGCCAATATTTCTGAGAGCCCAGACCTTCCTGCGGAGAGGGTACAGGACAAACTACTGCAGGGAACTGCTCCAAAAGTACCACACGACTGCCTTCGTGGCGTGAGCTGTGCTGTCAATGGGAGCTGGTAGGAAAGCAGCTCTGTGCTAGCTGGCTCGGCGCCCCCTGCAAGGGCCTTGAATTGTCCACATCCGTGAAGATCCTGGAGAGCTTCCACTAAGGGGCTGGGCACAGGGGCATGAGCGCAGGTAGCCAGGGGTTCTCCAATGGCTCTGCTGAGTGTTGCTGACGCTGTCATGTATGTGCTGGGTTCGTTCTTACAGCTCAGACTCCTAGACCATTGCTTAGATCCGGGGTTGGGATGGGACTGAAAGGGCTCTCGGGCAAATCTTAGCCTGGTGCTTGTGGGTCTGGCTCAACAGCTACCAGGAGGGTGGTTGGCGAAAGGTGTAGGAGGCTGTTTGAAAGGCATCTATTGGACGTCTCGTGTCTACATTCACAAGAAATAGCACATACATGACCCCTTCCGCCTCCAGCTCAGGGTGTTCCCTGCACCCTGCTGGGCATTAGGCATGGGGCAGGCTGTGCACGTTACCCAGCTCTCGCTTGTGTAACAGACCAGCCCCAGGATGGGCATCCTGCAGCTGTACGGTGACAAAGCCCAACCCAGGCACCGAGAGCTGGTGCATGTGCTAGGATCACTGAAATGAGGAAAAGGCTCCAAAGGAGTTGGACGGATGAGCCACAGGGAAGGAAGGACTTTGCGAGGCCAGGCGCAGGCCCTACCTCAGTCTTTCATTGGAAGTGAGGCGCTCAGGGCTTGGTGCCAAGAGCCAGATTAGCCCTGGCTTGTGCCAACAGGATTCAAAGCACCTGCCCCTCCCATTGCATACACACAAGGGTCAGGGAGCCGTGAGAGTAGGTAAAGCCATGGCTTCAGGGTGACCAGGCATCCCATAGTATCAACACCATCCTGATATTAGGGGCTTTATCATGTATAGGTCCCTATTGTCACCCCCACCCAGCCTGATTTTTCACACTTTCCATCTGGTCATTTGCCATGCACTGTGCCCACCCACACATCAGTGAACAGGCAGCCTCCACTTCAGGATATGATAGAGGTCTATAAAATCATGGCTGGTGTGGAAAAAGTGACTAAGGAACATTTATTTACTTTCTCACACAACACAAGAACGGGGGGTCACCAAATGAAATTAACAGGCAGCAGGTTTAAAATAAACAAAAGGAAGTTTTTCTTCACACAGTGCACAGTCATAAGAACATAACAATGGCCAGACTGGGTCAGACCAAAGGTCCATCCAGCCCAGTATCCTGTCTGCTGACAGAGGGCAATGCCAGGTGTCCCAGAGGGAGTGAATTGAACAGGTAATGATCGAGCAATCTCTCTCTCCTGCCATCCATCTCCACCCTCTGACACACAGAGGCCAGGGACACCATTCCTCACCCAGACTGGCTAATAGCCATTTATGGACTTAACCTCCAAGAATTTATCTATTTCTCTTTTAAACCCTGTTATAGTCCTAGTCTTTACAACCTCCTCAGGCAAGGAGTTCCACAGATTGACTGTGCACTGTATGAAGAAGAATATCCTTTTATTGGTTTTAAACTTGCTGCCCATTTATTTCATTTGCAGAACTTTAACAGGATTAAAAACAAAACTAGATAGATTCATGGAGGCTAGGTCTATCAATGTCTATTAGCCAGGATGGGCAGGAATGGTGTCCCTAGCCTCTGTTTGTCAGAAGCTGAGAATGGGCATCAGGGGAGGGATCACTTAATGATTTCCTGTTCTGTTCACTCCCTCTGGGGCACCTGGCATTGGCTACTCTCAGAAGACAGGCTAATGGAGTATCTGGATCTTTGGTCTGACCCAGTGTGGCCCTTCTTATGTTATATTCTTGATTTAATGACTCCAACTAATGGAAAATTTACTACATCTCTGGGCTCATGTCCCAATGGTTAATCACACTCACTTGAAACTGCCTGTGTCTGCTCTGTTCAACTTCTCTCATTTCTCAGATTTTCTAGCTTACTTCTCAACTTTTTTTGGCACATTAATTAGGTAATTTAGTGGCTCACTAAAAGCATTTCCAAGACCTTGCATCATGCTTCTCTAAGCCCTCCAATAGCCTTCTCAAAGGCTTGGCCCCAGCACTAGAGACAGTACAAACAGTGGTTTCATTGGACTGAGGCGCAAAAGGCAAGAAGGCCTTAGCATGAGTCTTTATTGTCCGCCTCTGCACAGGCATCTCCCTTTTAATGGAACAGCATGTTGCAACCAGGGTCACACTTTCAACACAGAAGAACTGGGTGAGCTTGGTGCAGGTGAAAAGTTCCCAGTTTCTCACCCTGTTTATCCCTAGGCAGCAAAAACTGAAACCCACCCATCCTGCCTGCCACTGTGCTTCACCCTGGCCTGAGCATCACAAGGACATTTTGCTCTTGGCCTCTAGGACGACTGCCATTCATGGGGAGGTTTCTGTTACAGAAATACAAGTGCACCAGGAGCTGGGCTAAGCCCCTCCTCTCCCAGGGAAGAGAGGCCAGCACATGCTGAAGACTTTGGTGATTGCTAAGGGTGGATGAGAACTGCAAGGGAAATGCTCTGGCTCCCATTCTCCACTCCCCTGAGGCAGCCAGGCTGGAAAGGAAACGGGACCCCAAGAGGGGAAAGGCCCATGCCCCTTTCTTTACCCACCCCCGCTCCCACATGCACCAACCTGACCCCTGGGATCCTATTTGTCATTTCTGGTTAGTTTTTTTCTTATGCAGGCATTTGAGCTGAGCTGCTCGCGGCTGCCCAGCCCTAGCTACACACGAAGCACTGAAGCAGTAAGAGGCAGCAGCGCAGAGGGGTTCGGGCAAGGGCAGGTCTCACTGAAGTAACTTCACATAATTAGCTGGAAAGAGGCCAGCTCTGCCATGGCAGTGCCCCCGCCACCAGCCTTCGTCCACCATCTCGATGTTGGTGATGGTGTCATTGGGGTCAAAGGAAATTTCATCGTCACCCTCTGCAAAATGAAAGAGGAAAAGGAGGCACAATGTAATTTGCTCCTGAGGGCAGAGACATCCTGAGGAGGGTAGGGGGCAAAAATTACCACACATGGAGTTCAGCAGAGACTATCACCACATCCCCTCCCCCAGGTCTCATATTGGCAGCCCTCCCCTCCTCTCCACTTTCATCCCACCCCAGTGATTTGCCTCACCCCTTCCAGTGCAGGAACAGAGGAACTGCCAGACTGGATCAGACCCAGGACCTTCGGCTGTGTCTAGACTGGCAAGTTTTTCCGCAAAATCATCTGCTTTTGCAGAAAAACTTGCCAGCTGTCTACACTGGCCGCTTGAATTTCCGCAAAAACACTGACGATCTCATGTAAGATTGTCAGTGCTTTTGCGGAAATACTGTGCTGCTCCCGTTCGGGAAAAAGTCTTTTCCGAAAGACTTCTGCGCAAAAGGGCCAGTGTAGACAGCATAGTACTGTTTTCTGCAAAAAAGCCCCGATTGCGAAAATGGCGATTGGGGCTTTTTTGTGGAAAAGCGCGTCTAGATTGGCCACGGACGCTTTTCCGCAAAAAGTGCTTTTGCAGAAAAGCGTCCTGCCAATCTAGACGCACTTTTCCAAAAATGCTTTTAACGGAAAACTTTTCCATTAAAAGCATTTCCGGAAAATCATGCCAGTGTAGACGTAGCCGATATCTAGTTTGGTATCAGGCTCTGTCAGGGCTGGTGTCCGCAAGAACAGGGATATGCTGCCCCCGCATTAGGTCTCATTCTAGGCTGTAGGGGTACGTCTACACTGCAATCATAGACCCATGGCACAGTGATGGCTGACCCAGATCAGCTAGCTCAAGCCGCAGGGCTAACAGTTGCAGTTTCCATGTGGGTCTCCGATCCAGCTAGAACTACACAGCAATGTTTAAGCCACAGCCTGAGCCCTGCAAACCCAAGTCAACTGACCTGTGCACTGAGACTCGGTGCTGTGGGACTTTGATTGTCGTGTGAGGTACTGCCTGGCCACAGACTGGCTTAGGCCTTGGAGCATGAGATTAATATGGCATCGTTATTCAGACACAACTCCCAGAGCTTTCTCTTCCCCTCCCTGCCAGCCAGCCTGAGCTGCCCACCCCCTGCCCTGCAGGCAGATAACCTCCTTCTGCTACTCCCCAGGCCAAGCAAACCCACTCACCTCCTTGGTAATCATAGAGCGCCACAGCAGAGAGCCCAGCTTCATCCGCCTCGTACACATTACCAGACTCTCCTACAGGAGAAAACCAGCAGGCAAGTCAGGAGGCGGCAGCACTCAACTGTTCACAGACCCTGCCAGGTTTGCAAGGGTGATCTCCCTGCTCCTTATGAGCCTCAGGCCTCATCGAGGGGAGAGCTCTCATCCCTTCTCAGAGTGGCCAAGGCCTCTGAAGAAAAGGGCCAGACCAGAGCGCTTGCTGCTCCTCTCTGTCCTTCGCCAGAGCACAAGATGGACGGACTGGAGAGAGCCAAGTACTCGGTCCGGAGAAGCTAGGACACAGCCCAGTTTGGCCTGGGCACCATGGCCAGACTCACTTCCATGGGCTCCCAATCCCAGGCAAGCAGTCAGCATTCAGCTGTGAGATCCAGCCATGTTAGCGAGGGTCTGTGTGCCTCTCCGGTGCCCAGCACCTGCTCCATTAGCTGGCAGGACACAGTGCTCTTCTCAGTCTGGGTTGTTTCCTTCTGTACAGGTGGGCACTGTCTCCTGCTGCAGGTGCGGGGTCCCGACAAGGTGGGCAGGGAGGGGCTAGTTATTTTGGGCTGTTGAAGTGAGCCCCCCCCCCCCATCACTGTATCCAACTGATCCTTTACCATTGACACCTAAACAGAACAACCCCGGTGCACCATCATCCCTTCTGAGCCCCTGGGATACTAGTGCTCAGAGGAGGGTTGGCTGCACGCTCCTAGCAGGCTTGAAAGCCTGAGCCACAGACTGGACAGCAAGCCCTGCAAGCCACAGAGGAGCACCTGCCACTTCGCACCCCTCCCAGCACCGCACTGCAGCAGCCCTTCCCCGAGGAGCCCACCCAGCCCCTCTCAAGCAGGCAAGTCTATGGCTGGCCCAGGACCATCTGAACTAGTCTCAGGACTTAAAGCAGGGCAGTGCTTTGCTTGGCCCTCACTCTCACCCTCCCCATTTCTCCCAACTGGAGGAGCAAAGCAGGCTGCCCCCAGCAGGGCTCCCCATAGTGTCTGGGGGTGGGAGACAATCACTGCAGAGTGCACCCCAGGGCCTGCCTGGCCTGGCTCCGAAGTGCAGACAGATAGAGACATGCCCCAGGCACGCCTTCCCCATCACTTACCAGGGCAGGGAATGCTCCTGCTGCTGCTGGGCGTGCTTTCCGGGGGGATCTCCTCATAGTCCTCCCCTGCGTCCTCACCCTCGTCGTACTTGCTCGAGGGCTCTGGCAGCTCCTCATAGTCTCCGCCCACGTCAGCACCATCCTCATAGCTAGCGGGCTCTGGCAGCTCCTCATAGTCCCCCTGCAGCTCTACACTGTCAGCATAGATGGCCTGCGCCCCAGGCGACTCCTCACGCAGCTCGCTGGCATCTTCACCCAGGTCAGAGGGCCGGGGCGGCAGCGCAGGGGCCTGGTCCTCATCCTGCGGCTCCTGCTCTTTCTGTGCAGGGAGGAAAGAAGGAGAAAGTAACTCACAGCAAGAGTGAACTGGGAGGCAGATCCGTGGCCTGCACGTCTCTGTGCTCACCCAGCACCAGGGGCTCGGCTCCCAGGAGAGCGTTCTGCGTGCCTACGCACACAGGGTGCCCATCGCCGGAAGGGCTTTCAAGGAAACATCCCAATCCCATTCTAGGCAGCTCCCCAAGACTGTGCAAAGCCACAGGACATGAGCTTTATCAGGGCACCTTCTCCCCAGAACCCAGCCAGCTCAGTCCTAAGGGAAGGGAGCTGCTGGACACTGCAAACCAGATGAAACCCTGTGGCTTAAAAATGGCTCAACCATTTTAAACCACATGCTGCTAAGAAACAACACACACGCCTTGGCTACAACCAGGCAATTTGAGACAAGTGCTGTTGGCATTGTGTGTTTTGTCCAGCTGCTAGGCAAGTGATACCACAGCACATTTAAATGGGAATAGGGCCTGACTCTATTCAATAAGTGCAGTGACCAAACCCAATCAGCAAGAGTGCATGTGTCTCTCTCTGTGGCTATGTCTAGACCAGGGGTCTCCAAACTACGGCCCGGGGGCCGGATGCGGCCCGCGAGGCCCTCTCATCCGGCCCGTGGAGACCTTTTTGGATTCAAAGGCAGAAGAAGTGAGATTGTTTCAAAACCCATTTGAAGCAGATGTGGCCAGTTGCCCAGATGAACTGCAGCTGGAAGTCATTGAGTTGCAAGCAAATGACCTCCTTAGGGACAAGTTCAAAATAGGACTGGTGGGTTTTTACCAGTTTTTGCCCAAGGAAGACTTTCCTAATGTCAAAACTTTTGCATCAAGGTACCTTTCAATCTTTGGAACAACATACCTGTGTGAACAAACATTTTCAAGAATGAAATACGTGAAGAACAATTTGAGAACAAACTTGTCCGATGATAATCTCAGGTCACTGTTGATGTTAGGGACAACAAATCTAAAGCCAGAAATGTCTGCTATTTTGGCATCCAGGAAACAATTTCACCATTCACACTAATACAGGTGTTCATGTGTAGTGTATGAATGTGTTATTAAATAATAACTGAATAAAATAATATTAAATACATAATTAAAAACAACATCCATGTTTTGATTGTTTTTTATTTGGACCTCAAGTGTGTAGTCGGCCCCCGAACTGCTGTTTGATAGTTAATGCGGCCCTCGGGCTGAAAAGTTTGGAGACCCCTGGTCTAGACTATGGGGTTTTCCAGGATACAGGAGGCATCCCGGAAAAACTCCGCCACGTCCAGGGAACGCGTCTGCTCTTCTGCTTTTTTGTGTGGAAGAGCAGATGCGCTCGTTTGGAAGCCCTCCTCCCACGAGGAAGAAGGGCTTTTCCAAAAGATGGTTTTTTTCCAAAATTTGGACTAGTGGAGATAGGCCAGAGTTTGGAAAATCCTCTTCCAAAAAAACGATCGGAAAACGGTATACAAATTGTGGCGCACCATTTGCGTCCCTTGTTCCGATAAAGCCCCGTAGTCTAGACATAGCGGCTATGTCTACACTGGCATGAATTTCCGGAAATGCTTAAAACAGAATAGTTTTCGTTATAAGTATTTCCGGAAAAAGAGCGTCTACACTGGCAGGCTGCTTTTCCGGAAAAGCTCTTTTTCCGGAAAAGCGTCCGTGGCCAATGTAGACGCGCTTTTCCGGAAAAGAGCCCCGATCGTCATTTCCGCGATTGGGGCTTTTTTCCAGAAAAGACTAGTGGGCTGTCTACACTGGCCCTTTTCCGGAACAGTGTTCCAGAATAAGGACTTATGCCCGAGCGGGAGCAGAATAGTTTTTCCGGAATAGCGGCTGATTTTGTACAGTTCAACGTCGTTGCTTTTCCGGAAATTCAAGGGCCAGTGTAGACAGCTTGCAGCTTATTCCGGAAAAGCGGCTGATTTTCTGGAATAAGTGGCCCAGTGTAGACACAGCCAGCCTGTGTGTGTCTGGCTCAGCAACGAAGCGGGACGTCTGCAGGAGGAGCACCAGGGCATGGATTGCCTCACAGCGTGTGGTTCAAGGTTGTTTATAGCACTCCACATTCAACTTGCAATGTGTTCTGGAGGCATAAACAGAGGCTTGGCCCTTTCTCAGTGAAACTGCTGGAAGCTATTACCACTCACTTGCCAGGATTTTGCACACTGTCGGGAGGCTTAACTCTGTGTGTGCTCCCTATACAGTGCTGGAAGGGCCGCTCTGGCCCGTGCTGTAGCAGAGCGCTAAGGTGAGGTGCAGACAGCATGTTCTGTAGGTGCCACAGCAGCCCCCTGCTCTGATACAGGGTGCTGGGCACAGCTGGTACTGAGTTGCTTAGAACTGAACTGCTCCTTTCATTTTCCTGCTCAGCTGCTGCTCGCCCCTCCACTGAGTCCAGTTCCAGATTGGTTTGAACAGAGGGGAGTGTCAAGTGCCCTACTATGGCCCTCCCCACACTGCCCTCCCTTCATAGGAACAGCCCTTCCCCCTACCAATTCTGATCTACATGCTGTTCTTCCCCAACAGCAGCAGTCCCGCCCCTGTACCTGCTGTCCCTGTCGGTTAGGCAGCACCGCTGGTGCTTTGGAAATCTTCCTGGGTACCACAGCTGGTGTGGGAACTGGCTCCTTATGGCTCGTTTCCTCACTCTTCTGGGGTTCCTTCCGGGAGAGAAAGCATCAGTGCCATTCAGTCTTTTTGAACAGGATCCAAAGTGACTCCCTCTCCTACGCCTCATGGGGCAGTTTACACACAAGCCTCATTCTTTCCACTGGAGCCTTGATCAGGAGACCAGCCCACCACTCGTGTGAAACCTGCAGGAATCAGCCTCAGCAGGTGTGTGCCATTCAGGAAGCCGCCCCACCCCATCCATGTGCCAGAAGGGGAAAGGCTGAAACCAGTCCCCGGTGCACACATGCAAGTGGGAAATGAGGCATCTGGTCACACAGTGGAGTCTTATAGAAAGGTAGGACTGGAAGGGACCTCAAGGGTTCTGTGCTGAGGGCACAATACAGACCGGAGTCCAGATCCAGTCCGTGAAACCTTTGCCTCTAGCCCACCATGACCCTTTAGGCTGCTAAAAGTCCCATGCCTGCCGCAGCCCCAGCCACACCACTTCCAGAAGCATCGGCCATTGTGAGGATGGCACTGGGGGCCAGGGCAGCATGGAGACCCACTGCTGCTCTCCTCACAAGGGGCACTCAGTTTGCAGCAGCAGCCAGACTCCTGCAGTGGTGTGGGGCCACCATGGCATGCAGGCAGCCTGCCTGCCTGAGTGCCCCGCTGTGCCGCTGGCTGGGCATCACCTGTGCTTGTAAGTGTCTCATGGACAGAACCTGCACCAGACACCCCTTGCCACATGCCAACCCTTGCCCCAGGTCACAATGCTCTCCTGTAGCCAAACTCCCTCCCAGACCTCACTTCCTTTCCTGCACCCCAGTCCCCTGCTCAGGTCTGCCTCCTGCATCCATACTCTGTTCCAGAACCCACATCCTCTCCCTCCATTAATATAATAGGAAAGTCTGGCCCATCATCATTCCCCCCACCCCATAAAAATTATTGCCCATCCCTGCCCTATGCTATACCTGACAGATGTTTGTCCAACTTGTTAATGACTGGAATTCCACAACCTCCTCTGGACGTCTGTTCCAGAACTTAACTACCCTTAGTGTAAGAAAAGCTTTCGCTAATATCTAGCCTCAATCTCCCTTGCTTCAGACTGAGACGGTTTATTGTCCTACCTTCAGTGGACACGGAGAACAACTGAGGACAGTTCTCTTGGGACTAGTCCTTTGGACACTTCTCAGATCCCTTCCTCATTCTTCATTTCTCAAGACTAAACATGCCATGACATCTTTAATGTGTACATAGAGCATTGCTCTCCCCTGGATTCTTTCTAATTTGTCATAAGACCATCAGAATGGCCATATTGGGTCAGATCAAAGGTCCGTCTAGTCCAGTATCTGGCTAATGCAAGATGCCCAGAGGGAATGTCCAGAACAGGGAACTATCAAGTGATCCATCCCCTGTCATTCATTCCCAGGTTCTGGCAAACAGGCTAGGGACAGCATTCCTATCCTGGCTAATAGCCATTGATGGACCTACCCTCCATGAATCTATCTAGCTCTTTTTTTGATCCCTGTTCTAGTCCTGAACTTCACAACATCCCCTGGCAAGGAGTTCCACAGGCTGACTGTGAGCTGTGTGAAGTAATACTTCATTTTGTTTGTTTTAAGCCTGCTACCTGCTAACATCTTTCCTAAAGTGTGGCACCCAGAACTGGACCTTGCCATGCAGAACAGAGCAAGACAATTACCTGCCATGTCTTCCATAGAACATCCCTGCTAATACACCATGCAAAGATATTAGCAGGGGGCAGGGAGAGGGTTGGGGGAACCCCACAGCAGCCTGGGCTCCGTGGGCAGCTCTTAGTAGGGGGAAAAGGAGGAGCAGGGGGCATAGTCATGTGACAAGGGGGGAGCAGTGGACCACCTCGGCCCCCACCCCCCTGGGAAGAGACTGGCACCATCCTCACGCCTTGGGCAGGGGTGGAGCTGCACTGCAGGGAATCCAGGACCCTTGCTGTCTCGGAGTCATTCAGTCCAGACACTGGCCTTGAACGGTACCTTTCGGGGCAGTCCTGCCCAATGAAAGGTGGTCACCCTGGAGTGTGTCTGCCCTGAGGCAGGCAGACCAGGTGCTGTCCAGGAAATCAGGATGTCTGGCACCAACACTAATATGGCGAGGGGCCGAGGGCAAATCCCTGCCTGCCCTGAGAAAGGGGACAATGATTCTAGGCTCCCATGTCCACAGCCTGTGTGTGCTCCTTAACAGCGTACAGCCCGTCCCCCTCAGCGGGACAGAACAGCACTGCCACACAGCCAGGGCTGGCACTGGGCCCATCACCTGCTGCTCCCGGGCGGCCTGGCGCTCCCGCTGCTCCCGGGCCTGACGCCTCATTCGTTCCTCTTCCACCCGCTTCCTAGCCTCTTCATCAGCTGACTTGGCCAGGCCCTCGAATCGTGACTTTAGGCTTCGGGCTCCACTTGATGCTGCACAGGGAAATGGCTTCTCAGCAACAGGCACTGGGGTCCCCTCCCTCTTAATGGGCTGCCTCCATGCTGCCAGCCAAGCCCACTGAGCCTGTCTTCTCATCCATCCAAACTCACACCACTTAGAATCCTAGAATCCTGGGACAACAGAGACCTCAGGAGTCACCAAGTCCAGCCCCTGCCCAAAGCAGGACCAACCCAACTCAATCATCCCAGCCAGGGATATGTCAAGCTGGGACTTAAAAACCGCTAGGCATGGAGATTCCACCACCTCTCTAGGGAACCTATTCCAGTGCTTCCCCACCGTCCTGGTTTTTCCCAATATTCAACCTACATTGCCCCAATATGCCCAGTGCAGAGTCTCTGGCTGCAGAGATCGGAGGAAACAGCCGGAGAACACAGGCCCTTCCCAGCTGCAGGGCCAGGGATAGGCACTCTGGTTGTTTCCAGATGTCTTACCTGCCTCCACAGGTTTGGTCTTTTCATATGAGGAAGTTGGAGCCTCCATCTCACTAAAGCCAACAGCGCTCTGTAAAGGGAAAAAACCGGTGGATCCAGCATGAAGGGAAGACATGCAGAAGAGCCAGAGTTCCCAAGGCAGTGGTGGAACCAGACACTCATCTGGGTTATTCTATTCCCAGTTCTGCAATTGGCCTGTTGGATGATGCTGAGTGAGTCACTTCTCTCAGTGCCTCGGTTTCCCCATTCTAGAGGAAAGAATATCACCAGGTGGAGAGTCTTGGCCCATTCACTGACCATTAACATTAATTTCCATTATCAATTCTTTGCTCTTCACAGCCTTGCCACAATATTCCTAAGGGGAAGGGCATATTTGATGCAGACTGATTAATTTAGTGAGGAGGTAACTAGGTTTGAAGGGAGAACATGACCAAAGCCTATAGGTAAGTGAAAAACACTGAGATCTGGGAGACCAGAATTGGTGGGGAGCATATGTTGTTATAGCAAGATTAAGGGAGAGAGAAGACAGAACTAACGGGCTGGGGGTTGGTAAATGAAATCAGTAGCATAGATGTCTGTATTCTAATGCAAGGATGGGGAATAAAACAGAAGAACTTAAAATGCTAAACACAACTATGACAGAGCTGGCACCATAGAGACTTGGTGGGACAATAAACACAACTGGAATAGTGGTATAGTAGGGGGCTGATTGCTCAGGAAGGACAGGCAGGGGGGAAAAGCAGAATGTGTTGCCTTATATATTAAAAATCTATACACTAGGACAGACGTCAAGAGGGATGTAAGAGACAGACTCTGGGTTAGGATAAAAGGAGTAAAAGACAAGAGCGATGTCATAGTAGGGCTCTTCTATAGACCACTTAACCAGGAAGAAGAGGTGGATGAGCCTTTTATTCAACAACTTACAAAAATCACCCAAAGCACAGGACTTGATGATGATGGGGGACTTAACTACCCAAACATCTGTTGGGAAAACAACACAGCATGGCACAGATTATCCAATAAGTTATTGGAATATATTGGGATTTAAAAAAAAAAAAACTTTAGAAGGAGAAATCTACTGGAGGCGAGGCTGTTCAAGATTTGATTTTGATCATGTTATGAGGATGGATGATACATGGATACTAGGTATGTGACAGTTGAAACACAAGTGGTTACACACAAGCCCCCTGCTGCACTTCTGGCACTCCCAGCCCCCTTACTGCTTTCCTGGTTCAGCCTTCCCCAAGGCATGAGTTACATCCTCCCTTGGGGCCTCTTCCAGTTCTCTGGGCCCTGGCAGCCTGTCCTTGCCAGACTAAATTCCAGCAGCCCTCATGTAGGCCTCTGCCTCTCCATCTTTTTGGCCAGGTCTACACTTACCCTGGGATTGATGCTCCAGAGATCAATCTTCCAGGGTTCAATTTAGTGGGTGTAGTAAGGACCTGCTAAATCAACTGCTGATTTTGCCCCCATTGATCCTGGTACTCCACAGGGTCATGAGAAGTGAGGGAAGTTGACCTGAGAGTTTCTCCCATTGACCTCTTGCAATGGGAATCCTGCAGAAATTCGACTTCAAGTACATCGACTCCAGCTACTCCATTCTCATAGCTGGAGTTGTGTATCTTAAGTTGACTTTCTCGTTGAGTGTAGACCTGGCTTCCGCCAGCTCCGGCTCCCACCTCCCCCAGCAGGCTGGCAACTGGCTACTGGCCCCCAAGATAGCCCCCCAGGCCAGGCCTCATCCTGCCCCTCTCCCCAGCAGATCACCGACATGGCAGGCTGCCCTCACCAACTCCAGCTCATAGCTGTCCCCCTCGTCAGACACCCTCCCCCCCCCGCCTAAGACCAAAAAAACAAAAATATAAAAAAAATTTTTAAAAGACAATCTTTCTAAAAGCGCATCAAAAGATTAAAAATAAAGTTTTCAGCTACCAATTTGGAAGAAAGATTGGATGGTTAAGTACGATTCAAGGTAGTTGCTAACTATTAGCCATCAAATCTTTCTCCTAAATTGGTAGCTGAAAACTTTATTTCTGTGCTGCTAACCAAAAAAACAAAAATATAAAAAAAATTTTTAAAAGACAATCTTTCTAAAAGCGCATCAAAAGATTAAAAATAAAGTTTTCAGCTACCAATTTGGAAGAAAGATTGGATGGTTAAGTACGATTCAAGGTAGTTGCTAACTATTAGCCATCAAATCTTTCTCCTAAATTGGTAGCTGAAAACTTTATTTCTGTGCTGCTACTGACTGGACACACCTTCAGAGCTGGGCATATGGCCAACACCTGCCACCTAGCTCTAAAGGCAGTGCAGAAGTAAGGGTACGTCTAAACTACATGGCTCCGTCGACGGAGCCATGTAGAAAACTTGAGGAATGTCCACACTGTGATTATGTTCTTCCACAAGAAAATCGAAAGAACAGAGGGGGGTTTCCGGCATTGGTAATCCTCATTCTACAAGGAAGAAACCTTTTTGCGAAAGAGTTCTTTTGCAAAAAGAATAGTGTGGGCGGGGAAGAGAGAGTTCTTTCAGAAGAAGAGGAAAGAGGAAAAAGCACAGGTGCCCTGGTGGCCATTCCATCCATCGCAATCCCAGCTTACATGCGAGAGAGCATCCATTCAGTCTGGACGCCCTCTTTTGAAAAAGCAGATCACTTTTTCAATGCCCTTTTGCAATGTGGATGCTCTCTTTCGGAAGAAGTTTTTTCAGAAGCTCTCTTCTAAAAAAGGTTCTTGTGAAAGAAGCCTGCAGTCTAGACATAGCCTCTGTGATGTAGGACAAATTGACTTACTTTGTTTGTGAAAGCCTATGGGTGTGTCTAAACTACATGGCTCCATCGATGGAGCCATGGAGTCTAGACACAGCCTAAGAGTGGCAATACTGTGACTCCCACTAAAGTAACCTTGTAACCCTACAACTCCCTTTTGAATCAGGACCCCAAATTTCAGAAACACAGGTGTCCCCCATGAAATCTATATAGTATAGGATAAAAGCACACAAAAGACCAGATTTCCCAGGGGGAGACCAGATTTCATGGCCCATGATATGTTTTTCCGTGGCATCTGGACCATCTCTAGACTGATGCCTCGGCTACAGCCTTAGCTAAGAGTCACCCCGCCAAGATGACTAGCCACACAAACACTGATGAAGAAGATGGAAAATGCTGCAGGAACCCCTTTCTATTAATAGAATCGATGCTTTGTAATACCAGGCTTGTGAGTCTTTATTTCTGATGCAAATATTAACATAAAAAGTGTGTGAAAGACAGAAGGGAAACTATGCCAAATCTGTGTGCAAAGCATTTTAGATACAGCAGCGAGGCAGGTCCTTCAGAATGAGGAACTCATGAGAGGAATGGTGTCTCCCTGCCAGATTCACTGGAGCCTCGTTTGCTAAAGAGCTGTTGAAAAAAATATTTTCCTCACAGGAAAGGCTTCTGCTCCTCCCTAAGGGTGTGTCTAGACTACAGGGTTTTGCTGACAAAACTATCATAGAATCATAGAATCATAGGACTGGAAGGGACCTCAAGAGGTCATCGAGTCCAGCCCCCCGCCCTCAAGGCAGGACCAAGCTCCATCTACACCATCCCTGACAGATGTCTATCTAACCTGTTCTTAAATATCTCCAGAGAGGGAGATTCCACCACCTCCCTTGGCAATTTATTCCAATATTTGACCACCCTGACAGTTAGGAATTTTTTCCTAATGTCCAATCTAAACCTCCCCTGCTGCACTTTAAGCCCATTACTCCATGTCCTGTCCTCAGAAACCAAGAGGAACAAATTTTCACCTTCCTCCTTGTGACACCCTTTTAGATATTTGAAAACCACTATCATGTCCCCCCTTAATCTTCTTTTTTCCAAACTAAACAAGCCCAGTTCATGAAGCCTGGCTTCATAGGCTTCTCTAGACCTTTAATCATTCTTGTCACTCTTCTCTGTACCCTTTCCAATTTCTCCACATCTTTCTTGAAATGTGGCGCCCAGAACTGGACACAGTACTCCAGCTGAGGCCTAACTAGTGCAGAATAGAGCGGCAGAATGACTTCACGAGTTTTGCTTACAACACACCTGTTGATACAACCTAAAATCATATTTGCTTTTTTTGCAACAGCATCACACTGTTGACTCATATTCAACTTGTGGTCCACTATGACCCCTAGATCCCTTTCCGCCATGCTCCTTCCTAGACAGTCGCTTCCCATCTTGTATGTATGGAACTGATTGTTCCTTCCTAAGTGGAGCACTCTGCATTTCTCCTTATTAAACCTCATCCTGTTTACCTCCGACCATTTCTCTAACTTGCTAAGGTCATTTTGAATTATGTCCCTATCCTCCAAAGAAGTTGCAACCCCACCCAGTTTGGTATCATCTGCAAACTTAATAAGAGTACTCTCTATCCCAATATCTACATCATTGATGAAGATATTGAACAGTACGGGTCCCAAAACAGACCCTTGAGGAACTCCACTTGTTATCCCTTTCCAGCAGGATTTAGAACCGTTAACAACAACTCTCTGACTACGGTTATCCAGCCAATTATGCACCCACCTTATCGTGGCCCTATCTAAGTTATATTTGCCTAGTTTATCAATAAGAATATCATGCGAGACCGTATCAAATGCCTTACTAAAGTCTAGGTATATGACATCCACCGCTTCTCCCTTATCCACAAGGCTCGTTATCTTATCAAAGAAAGCTATCAGATTAGTTTGGCATGACTTGTTCTTCACAAACCCATGCTGGCTATTCCCTATCACTTTATTACCTTCCAAGTGTTTGCATATGATTTCCTTAATTACCTGCTCCATTATCTTCCCTGGGACAGACGTTAAACTGACCGGTCTATAATTTCCTGGGTTGTTCTTATTCCCCTTTTTATAGATGGGCACAATATTTGCCCTTTTCCAGTCTTCTGGAATCTCCCCTGTCTGCCATGATTTTTCAAAGATCATAGCTAAAGGCTCAGATACCTCCTCTATCAGCTCCTTGAGTATCCTGGGATGCATTTCATCAGGACCTGGTGACTTGCTGACATCTAACTTTCCTAAGTGATTTTTAACTTGTTCTTTGTGTATCCTATCTTCTAAACTTACCCTCTCTCTGCTTGTATTCACTACGTTAGGCACACCTCCAGACTTCTCGGTGAAGACCGAAACAAAGAAGTCATTGAGCATCTCCGCCATTTCCAAGTTCCCTGTTACTGCTTCTCCCTCCTCACTAAGCAGTGGGCCTACCCTGTCCTTGGTCTTCCTCTTGCTTTTAATGTATTTATAAAAGGTCTTCTTGTTTCCCTTTATGCCTGTAGCTAGTTTGATCTCATTTTGTGCCTTTGCCTTTCTAATCTTGCCCCTGCATTCCCGTGTTGCTTGCCTATATTCATCCTTTGTTAGTTGTCCTAGTTTCCATTTTTTATATGACTCCTTTTTTATTTTGAGATCATGCAAGATCTCCTTGTTAAGCCAAGCTGGTCTTTTGCCATATTTTCTATCTTTCCTACACAGCGGAATTGTTTGCTTTTGGGCCCTTAACAACGTCCCTTTGAAATACTTCCAACTCTCCTCAGTTGTTTTTCCCTTCAGTCTTGCTTCCCATGGGACCTTACCTACAAGTTCTCTGAGCTTATCAAAATCTGCCTTCCTGAAATCCATAACCTCAATTGTGCTGGTCTCCCTTCTACCTTTCCTTAAGATCATGAACTCTATTATTTCATGATCACTGTCCCCTATACTGTCTTCCACTTTCAAGTTCTCAACTAGTTCCTCCCTATTTGTTAAAACCAAATCCAGAACAGCTTCTCCTCTGGTAGCTTTTTCAACCTTCTGAAACAGAAAGTTGTCTCCAATGCAGTCCAGAAACTTATTGGATAGCCTGTGCCTCGCTGTGTTAGTTTCCCAACATATGTCTGGATAGTTGAAGTCCCCCATCACCACCAAATCTTGGGCTTTGGATAGTTTTGTTAATTGTTTAAAAAAGGCCTCATCCACCTCTTCCACCTGGCTAGGTGGCCTGTAGTAGACTCCTAGCATGATATCACCCTCGTTTTTTACCCCTTTTAGCTTAACCCAGAGACTCTCTACACAGCTATCTCCTACGTTCATCTCCACTTCAGTCCAAGTGTGTACATTTGAAATCACTAACCTGGAGCAACTTAAACTTGCACATTGCAGTTCAGGACTTCAAATGGAGCTATCATGTAGTCCTCACATTCTCTCTCACCTCTTCCCCCCCACCTCTCCATCCTTCACACACAAGGCCATATCCCTCCATCATCACAACTAATTAACTGCATGGATAAAGGCTGCTGAGAAGATGCATGCAGGTGTCACTCCCCTTTGCAGGGGGCAAGATTTGGGGTCTGGGAACATAACTGTGAACTGTGCTAAGCACAACAGACTTACCTCATCCACTCTGTCCTCCTGAACACCATACCGACCACCAAAGCCCTTGGCATAGTCTGCAACACAAAAAGGGTTCAGTTTGCCTTCAGCTACAAGGGGTACCTCCCATAGATGACACTGGGAGATGCCCTGTGTAATGGGGGCAGGATTTTTGCCCCATCCAGCAACCCATGAAAAATCAAGATCTGTCAGAGCAGCCAAACAAATCCATTTGTCCTTCAGAACCGGCCCACTCAAAGCCCTGGCCCTTTTAGTCAGGTACCAGTGCTGCTCCTGTAGAAGGTGTGAAATCCCCATTAAACAACGAACCCATATCAGGCACTAAATGGACAATACTCGGAGACGGGGGGAACACTCTCCTGACTCCCCAGTGCCTTGAGGTAGGGGGCTCAAATCCTGGTCATTTTGTCTTAGCCAGAGGCCTGCAGGATGTTTTGCATTGAAACTGGGAAAATGCTAGAAAAAGCCTCCACAATCAGTCCCTGGAATCACTGCATGATTGGGCCCCGCATAGTGTCCTGCTCCCTGCAAGCTGCAGGGATGTGTCTGACACTGGGCCAATGCTGCAGAACAGCCTGGCAAAGCCAGTTTCAGTTTCATGGACAAGCACCCACTCTGGAAACCTGATTGCAACACAGTCCTCCAATCAGGCCCTTTGAGCTCATTCAGCATAGCACACATTTCAAATGACAAGTGCCCCATTAAAGGGTGTTTGTGTAGGGGCTGCGTTTGTTTGGGAACAATCACTGCTATGACTCCAGGAGCTCCAATGGCATCTTTTTTGCTAGGGAGGCCCCATGCTACATGTGCAGCATGAAGGTTACTTGCTGACAACCAATGCCAACAATTCCTGCCATAGATGGATGCAGCCAGCCTGAGGAAAATGGCAGATGGTCACTGGGAGATGTCCAAGACCCAGAGTCTCATAGACTCATAGACTCATAGGCTGTGTCTAGACTACATGCCTCTGTCGGCAGAGGCATGTAGATTAGACACATAGGCAAAGGCAAATGAAGCCGCAATTTAAATGATCGCGGCTTCATTTACATCTACATGGCTGCCGCGCTGAGCCGACAAACAGCTGATCAGCTGTTTGTCAGCTCATGCGCTAGTCTGGACGCTCCCCTGTCAACATCAAAGCCCTTTGTCGGCAGCCCCGTTATTCCTCGTGGCATGAGGTTTACCAGGGCTGCCGACAAAGGGTTTTGATGTCGACATGGGAGCATCCAGACTAGCCGGCCTAGCCGGA